AGAGAGAGAGAGAGAGAGAGAGAGAGAGAGAGAGAGAGAGAGAGAGAGAGAGAGAGAGAGAGAGAGAGAGTGAGACGATGCACAAGAAAAAAAAACAAAACGATGTACAAGAAAGAGAAGTGAAAAGGAAATGGCAGGCAAACAAATAGGAAAAAGGCCAAAGAATAGTACTTCAAACGGAGGGGCGAAAACGTCATTTGTCTTCAAGTGCACCTCCTATCAGATGATGGGTGTTGGGAGAAATTCCCCCGTAGCGATGCCCGTCGTGAACTCGGAAACTGATCTGCGGTTTAATGGAGCTCCGAGGTTCACCAGCGCACCGTGAACAGTTCGGTGGAAGAACGGCGCTGGACGAGGCCCCTCCGCTGATCTGCCCCATCCGATGCCCCCCTCCCGTTTTCGCCACTTGATTTGGCACGCAGCCGACCACCGACCGGTGCCCCTCGGCCAATGCAGCTTAAGGGGTAGGATCTGGAATTACCTGGGGCCGGTCACCTCTGGATATATCTAGAACTCTAGACTGTGGCCCTTTATAAAAAAGAAAAAGCAGGAAGTGCGAGTAATGAGCCATCGCGGGGCCCTTATCAGGCATGCACATGTTCTGGGCAGAGGCCCTCAGCAAGCCCTGTGCCCACCCTAAGTGAAGGCGGGCCTGATTAATCACAAGAGGCCAAAATTTGACATTTTTCCATATGTGGGTACTCAGGCAATTACAGCACGCCAGTTGGTTACAAGGAATCGAGAGCCTCTCGGCTCTTTCCGGAAAACATGTGCTGCGCCGTACAGTTGCACCTGGGCACACACACTACCAGGCAGATACATCACAAAGTGGCCACCGGCCTACAAAAAGGAGCATTGACGACGTACCTACTCCGGGGCCTGTGCAAATGCAGCAAATTGTCGAAGTCTGGAAACACGGGGCGTGCCCAACTGTAAAGGGCCCAGCCCTCAACTACAGAACTGGGCCTGGGCGCAGGCACTGGGGCCCGACCGGAAGCTACTGGAAGCTTCTCATCCAGGCCCACACGCAGCCAAGCAGAGGCTGCCACTTCCATATCCGAAGTAAGGCAGCCAGGGTCGGGGATTCTGGCCCACACAGGCATTGCGGTCACGCTGCTGCGTTGCTAAGCGAGTGGCCGCATGCTGCGTTAGAGGGCTAAGGCGCATACGGGCGCTTGGTGGTGAGTGGGGCGCTGCCGGGCAGCAGGGCGCCGACAGCCATAGCCGGGCTGCAGGGCGTGTGTGCGGGTAATGGGCAATAGTGGGGTCTTCGGGAGGAGGCACTTAGTGTGGGTGGTCAGGGAGTGATGAGGGAACACGAGATACGTACCTGGTGCATGAGGGAGGTGAGCTATGGTGTTGACGTCATGTACATTGGTCTTCAAAGTCGAAGTGAGCCTGTTGCGTGAATGCGGCTGTAGTAGGATAGGCTAGGTAGGAGTAGGAAGGGCGCTGGGCGCCATACAGTAGGAGCGACATTGCATACTGCGTTGGTGTGGCCTGAGGGCTTGAACATTGGCTCATGAGTTCATTTTATCGCTCTTATGAGGATGGAATCTTGGCGCATTTATGCTTTGTGCTTGTTACTTGACTACTTGGACATCTGTGTGATTTTGCAATTTGGTTTTCTGTATATCGTTCTCACTCATATTCCTTGCAATTTGCTTTGTGATCGCCATTATCTGGCGCCGGCGACATTGTTACTTGTGCAATGAGCCCAGACGTGATGATACTCGTCAACATTACCAGTCCGTATGATTATCGATCTGCTGATGAATGACAAACAATCGCAAATGTGTGTGATGATAGAATGAGGTGAGAATCATACACAGACGAAGGAGGAGAGAGGGAGAATAGACAAAGGAGAGAGAAGAAGACAACAGCCCACTTCTACTTCGGGTTCCTCCTCCTCCTCACCACCTCATCAATCAATAGACTGAATACAATGTCTGAAGTTCTTCCTCAAGGTGCCACGTGGCACGTCAATCTGTCTACATCAGCAAATGGAGAGTATCGTCATCAACCAGGTACGTATCCT